AAATTGGGAGATTTTTCCCAAAATGCCACTTATGTGCAATTTTGTCCCAGATTCTGAACTATCCAACAGAGGGAGGGAATTGAGTAGGGATTACTTTTACTTACCCCAATGCAATGCTGAATATCGTCGCTATTTGTGTTAATAGAAGCAGCTATAGGCTGCGCTGGTATGCAACGGCCTTTTGTAATTCTGTCTCGTTCATCGGAACATTTGCATAACTATCAATGGAAACAACTGTTGTATTTTTTTGCACAATTAATTGGAAACAGAAGATAATAGTCATGGAAGATATTCAACTGGAATTAATCATTATTCAGTAGTATGTAGAATTAGGAAATATGATGATACGGACCTTGCATTCTCCTTGGTTGTCAGTGTATGGATAGTCTTCCTCAGTGTCTATACCGCCATTCTTGATGATGAAGGTAAAGGCATTAGTCATTAAACCATCATTGCACCCTCTGTTCTCGATATTAGTATCACAATCAAGGACTTGTTGTGATGATAGTGTGATCAGATCACCTGTCACGATCTGGTTTATCCCTTCCACTGCGTCGATTGCTGAGAATGCCCAGGATGACTATTTTTCATTCAACAGAATCCACCATGCATATTAAATATTAATCAACTTAATTCGCAAAAGGAATTTATTACCTAGCTACTTTACTTTTCTATACGCAGGCATGGATCGATATGAGAGGAATTAGTATATATTTGATATTTGCCAAATTTATAATCTTTTCAGAGCATCCACGATGGTGAGTTTAATGAGAGAGTTGAATGAGGTGGCAAGTCTATGTATCATTCAATGGATGAAATTCTACCATTGTGAGATGCCATCTTGGCATTCAATGTATTTGGAGTTCAATGATCATTGAACTCTTGAATGGGAAAAAAGAAAATTTTTAATTTTTAATTATTTACTATAAATTACATTTTGTGACATTCTATTGAACTTTGTGAAGTTCATTGTATTGTAGGAAAAAATGATAGAGTTGTATGGATTGTAGAAAGATGATATGACAATCCATTGATCTCTATGGAGTTCAATGCATTGTGGATGCGTGAGCAACACATGCATACAATAAAAATTAATATGCATACAATCAAAATTAATAAACGCGCGTGCTAAAAAAGGAAAGGGAAATTAAAACACAAAAATATATAATTCTATAAAATAAGTAGTATAACTCACTCACCACATAGTTGTTGATCTTTGACGGCGGTGACGACACCTTTGGTCCTCCGGTCAATGGAATGAGGCAGCACATCACCGGATCCAGAAAGAAGAGAGTAGCAGTTAGTCGTCTTCACCTTGTTAGACGGCAGCTTTCGTTTAGGAATATTGTCGAACCGGAACTCCAAGCTTGTAGGAATGTTTGCCTCCGGAGTTGTGGTGTTCTATGTGCTTGAGGTTGTCTTTGAAGATCTGAAATCTCTTCTCCTTCTCCCCAAGTGTGTTGTAAAGCTTACCATGTTTCACCACCCAGGACTCGTACATAGCTTGGACTTCCTCGACTGTGCGCTTCTGGCTGGCAGACGACAGACGAGACCAGGAAGAGACCAAAAACCAAGAAAATGGCGATCGGAAGGAGCTTCATTTTCGGAGTTTGTTTTGAAAAAACAAAAAGAGAAGAGGAGAAAGCTAGTTCGATAGTGGAAGAAAAGGTGAAGGGAGGGAAAGAATTTATAGCGAGTTATGGGAGGGAGGAGGCAACGTCTCGCTGGAAGGTATGTATAATATTATTAGAGCATCTCCAACCCACTTCCATTTCCATTTTTATCTTCATTCTTCTCCAACCCACCCCCATTTATTCCCCCATTTTGGAGGATATGAATAGTATTATACCAAATATGGTGTTATATTATTCATTTTCTCCCAAAATGGGGATGAACTTTGTGTTGTTGATTTTAGTCCATCTATTTATATATTTATACATTTTTAATTTATTTTTACCTACTAATTATAATTTAAATGTAATATTTAATACTTATAATATTTTGTTATATACTAAATTATATTAACTAATTATAAATATAAAGTTTGTGTTTTATTCATCAAATTCTTATAAAAAGTTAAATACATATTGAAATTTTAAAAAACGATAAGGTATTTTACAAAAGCTTATAAATATAATCTTATTTATTTAATATTATTGTAATGAAAAAAATATAGATTATATTTTTGTTAAAACCAAATTAGTAGAAAGGGTGATTTTGACAACCCATGTAAGTTGGAAAAATGAAATATACTTGAAATATACTTTTTGAAGTAAAAAATAGGATAAAAAATAAAGTAGGGTCGGAGATTATAAGGCATATTCTTTACTTCATTTTTGGGAAAAAAAATAGGAATGAGTCGAAGATGGTCTTAAAAAACCATATTATTCGGAACTTAATTCTTTATTAATGGAGTGGCAAACGAGGAGGGATTGGGTTTTCATCCACAATCACCATAATATTTAGATATGATTGCATTTATAAGGCATTATATATTATATATTATGATATGATATAAAATAAAAACAATTTTATATGTGCCACGAGTTCTTTTGAGTTGACTTCGATGATGTTTTTTTTTTTTTTTTTTTTTTTTTTTTTTTTTTTTTTTTTAAGAATTAGTAGAATAGGTAGATCTTTGTAAAAATAAAATTGTTTATTTTTTTAACGTTTGAGATTGTTAATACAAATTAAAATATAAATAAACTGGTTTTTAACTTAAAAAAAGTTTCTAACACTAAAATTTAAATAATTTTAGTTTGCCAATCTCTCTAGCAAACTTCAATTCTTGGCTATAGTATACACCTACAAATTCACCTGTTGGAAAGATGACTTTCAAATTGGTAAGATCATATTATTAACTATTAAAGGCTATAAGATTGAAATATAATTCTTACAACTATAATACCAATTATTTTGAAAGAAAATGTTTTTATTTTATAACTATTTCCAGGTCTGCTGCTGTCATGTCCTTCAAACAAATAAATGTTTCAAAAAAATTTAATTGGCTGTATTTATTGTATCAAATAGTTGAATAAATAAAAATAAGGGCTAAATATCAAAGAATCAATGTTTAGGCTTTGAGCAATTTCACGGGTTATTTAAAATGATTAAGAAAGCAAAAGCTCAGGTTTTATGATAAAGAAATAAATAAAACTATTATTATCTTTAGTATATTAAATTAAAAATAAAAGGAAATAACAGACAAGGGTATGTATGTGTTTGCGAAAAAAACATATATATATATATATATATATATATATATATATATATATATATATTTGTTTTCACGCATCATTTTTTACTCATTTTCATTCTTATAGAATAAGACTCAATAAAAATTCTGACAGAATGAAAATAATAATAATAAGTCTATAATAACCTTATAGACGATTTAATTAGTGAGAATGCATGAAAATGACGATAGTTGTGTAAGGTTGAACATATTCACATTAACAAACAATCTATTCTCTTAGTATTTCTCATAGAGAATAGCATTGTCCGCACAATAGTTGTTCATCCACATTACA